GTGCAGGGGTTTACTCATTCAATCCTTTATGTTCTTTTTCTAATTAACTTTTAGATATGATTTCCTTGTGATTACCAATCATTCATACAATTACTATTTATACCCAATGGTCATGCAATATTAATATTCTTTTCCTTATATTAACATCTCCAATGGTCATGCAAGATATAAATTAAGGAAAGTATGAAGAACCTATTAACTTGTTAATTTAATAATGGTTGGAAGAGAAAGATTTATTTGATCCACCTAATCCTTTGTTTTATTTTATCCTATAGATCTATCAACTAATCAAGGTACGATCACCTAACGATGTATTTAATTAGAGTTATGTTACAAGTGACCATTTCACAACACACAATCAAACACAGTAGGAGAAATACTAATCACAAACAGAAATCAAACCTAGATTTAATTATAAAAATTTCATAAAGTCATGAATAAGGGTTTCCATAGCCCTATCTATAAATTTAGATACTCATATTGAAGAAAGAAACTAAAGCAATTGTAAACAAAGTTATAAACAAAGATGGAAAGTAAACTAGAAGGATGATTTCATTCTTCGAGTCTAGTTGCTTAAAGCTCCAAATCCTCTAGGAATGTACCAGAGATTCTATGTAGAAGAGATACGAGTGTCATGTAGAAACTCAGAAGTAAAGTCTAAAAATTTGGATGACGAACTGCTTCCCCATCCCTTCTTTTATAGGATTTTAAACTCCTAAATCATGTTAAATTTGTGATTTGCATAGGTGAGCACGACCATGCTAGATGAATGCATGACCATGCTTATACTGGAGTTATGGGCGTGCTTAATTGCAGCACGGTCATGCATGCTAACAAAGCATGAGTGTGCTGATAAGAGAAGACTGGGCATGCATGATGGTTTAAGCATGCTTCCTCCTTAATGGCCTAATTTTTTTGAAATTGCACTCACAATATCTATAAATTCTTTAAATCTTCACACATGCTCATCTACAACAATTAAAAGCGTAATTAATGTATAAATCCATTCAAATCAATAATAAATGTTTATGAACATACTCCAAAAGTATATCAAAATACGGACTTATCAAAATTAAAGGTTGCATTTCAAGATACAACAATAAATGTGAATTTTATACTTAATGATAAGCTATTAACCACTTAAGAGATGCAAAAGGTGAATACAAGGAAATACCAATTAACATTGATATGAATAACAATGATAATTAGAAAAAGATGACATAGAAAACGATGAAGAGGAAGATAAGTTTCAAGATAATTGTGAAAATGACTCTCATTCTACTAATTGTTATAAATTTGATGATGAGGAGTCAAGTTTCGAAGCTAATAATAATAATGGAAATGACGGTGAAGATGACAATTATAATATATGATGTTTGTATTTTTGTTTTCATTTCTTAAAATAAAATGTAAGAGATTTTTATTCTTATTATATTTTACTTTCATTAATAATTTTATTATGTTACAAATGTTTGTGATGAAATTTCTTTTTTTTTTCATTTACAGATGTCGGACAAGGATTGAGATAAAGTAAAATCTTATAAAAATCATCCAACAAAACAACTAAAACAATTACCAATAAATATTGCTCCCACTATTTTTCTAGCTTTTATTTCATCATCTAATGTCTCGCCTATAATTACTCCATCTTCTAGGACATCTTTGATCACTCTACCTTTCTTGCATGATGGGTACTCATCATCTATCTTGTAACCATCTACTTTTAGTCCATCTATGCATCATGTAGTCTTATAAACATAAAATTTTCCACGTAGTCTTCAATCTTCTCTACTTTCAGCACATGAAGAAGTTGCACCAGAATTAAGTGAAATTCGTGATGCATTAGAGATGCAAAGTAATAGTACGAAGCTAATTTTATACTTTGATGGACAATGATACATGTTAATTTTTAAGTTATTCTAATATGTTAAATAAAATTGTAACTATTTTTATATAATATTTATTATAGATTCTTACCTTCACATAGTTAATTGTATAATTGATATCTTAAAAAATTATTATAATGATCCATGATCATCATAGAAGATGGTACCATATTTGATAAGACATGTGATTTGCATATTATATGGTAAATGTCTTATATGAATAATTATATTTTAAATTTAAAAAAATTCACATGTCTCATGAATTATAAAGAAATATATACATTATTATCACAAATCTTTATATGATTATTCTTATATTTTGATTCCTTTAAAGAAAATAGAAATATGAATTTTATTTTTTATTAATAAATTTTATAAAATAAAAATTATAAATAATTATTAATTTAGATAAATTGGCAAAAAATTAAAAATCACTATCTAATTGACATCTCTCGAGATAAGCATACATCAATAATGATATTAAAGTAAGAATAATATTGGGTAGAACTATAAAATATAGCAAGCTAAACAAAAACTTAAAATTGTTAGGTTTATTACTAAATCCAAAACTTAAGTGTAATGAATATTTAAACCGAAGATAAATTTTTCTTTTGCTATGTTTTATATATAATTCCATTATTTCTAATTAGCCTAGAACTTACAACTCCAAATGCAAAGTAAAATAACACATTAAGAGCATGCTAAAGCCAAAAGTTATGTCAAACTCATTTTTTCTGTTAAATTGTAAGTTGTACTAAAATGAGCGTACTTAAATTCTCATAAAGAAATTAGCCTTTAACTCTACATATCACAAATAGTCCCGTAACTTACCCTTATGAAATTAACAACTTTGAGACTAGAAAAAAAGAAGAAACTAAACAATTTGAAGAGATCTAATGTAAATAAATAATAAAAAATAAAAGATATAGAACTCAACCGACGACCATTTTCCAACACTTATTGACAACCATTTTATTTCACCCTTTAACTGGTTATCATCATCCTAATCACTATGAACACGGACCACCAGTGTCCAACACTTATGGAAGTAGTATTTATCATTGAAACTGGGCATGGTCATGTGCAACTCGTCAGCGGGAACGAAAATGTTTCCATGAATACCAAAATCGAAAATGCATATTTAAGATTCTCTATAATCTCATCAGGATCAACACCATTGATATTCAACTCTATGCATTTTTCGAAGCTAATGTGATTATCACTGTCAGAATCTACCTCTTGACTGATTTGTTGGCTTGAGTTCCTCCATGGACTAAGCAAGGATGTGAAGACAATGTCGGGTTTTTTAGCATATTCTACTTTTGGGTAAACAAAAATTTGAAACCCATGATTCCAAAGAAAAAACAAAAGAACTATTCCTTGTGCTTCTTGTTGTTGAGGAATGGCACAAAAAAAATCTTTGGTATTATTATCGGCGTACACATGCATTGAAAATGTGAAGAGGGGTTTTATGCTATTAGGTGTTGCAATTTCAACATTAAGACAGAAAAAGGGGCAAAACTATAATAAAAGAAATCTTACAAGATTATTAAAATTTTGCAAGGTTCTATATTACTCTAATTTGCAAAGTTCTAACTTCTTTTCCTTTTTTCTTTATTTCTTAATTTCAAGATTGATTCTTCGTATTAATTCATTGAGCCCTCCACCTTTTGGCGTCAATGTGTCACAGCTAATAGGTGCATGTGTGTGAGAGATGAATTGCTTTGTTCAAAGAAGAAAGGTCCTTTTGTACCCCTATTTCCCACCTGAGTGTCCGGTAAGGTTTTTTTTTTAATGTGTGAATGGAGTCAAAATCTTTAAAATGTTCATAATTACCTTATTTCTGTTTATGTGAATACTCAATGATGGAGGTAGAGAAAAAGAACATGTATGAGGTTAGTTAAAAATCAAAAAAGAATTTGTTATCATAATTAATTTTATTGAAATAAATATAATTATTTTATATTGAATTTTTTAATTTTAAGTGAGAAGATAATTTTATTTCGATTACGTTTAGATATATTTTATTTAATTTTGAAGAGTTAATTGTTTATTTTATCATTTTGAAATATTTAGTATCTTTTTTATAGATTTTATTTACAATTCTTTTTTAAAAAATATTAGTGCATAAGGAATATATATATGTATAACCTTTGCTTGTATTTACAATAACTAGATTAAATGTCTTAATTTTAATTAAAAAATTAACCAAAAAAAATTGAGTATTCCTAATTGTCCTAACAATTTAATATGTAATTTTTTTAACTTATTAATAAGATGTACTTCTTCAGTCACTAAAAGGCATCTAAGGAAGTTAAGTATATATATTTTACTATTTCAAATGTTTGATAGATATGAATTTATTGTAATTAAATAAACCTAAGTTCAACTTGATTTGTCACGGTGACAATATTTTTTGTTTAACCCTTATAATAGTAAATCACAAACAAACCATTACACATGTTATTTGTTCAATCTTTATAATGATAAATTACAAACAATTATTTGTTTATACGTGGTGACACAACTATTTTATATTAACCTATAAAATAAACTATAGTAACTTTATTATCTATTTATGTAAAAATTTTAGCATTATAAAAAGAAACTAGAGAATACATCTAATTAAAATTTGTTATTTAATATATACAAGAAATATGTGATTTATTTTTAGAAAAGATAACTCCAATAATCATTCGTGAAGATAATATTGCGTGAATTGTTTAATTAAAAAATGTTTATTGAAAAAAATTAAAAAATCACATTTCTCTAATCCTTTTATACCCATAAACTTAAAAAACAAAATCTTTAATAAAATTTTAATCAAACACGTTCTCATATAATAAACATAAAAAAAAGTATTATAAATTATTGCTAGTGAATATCTATTTTTTACTTTTTAATATTCTTTAAAACATTGTAACTTATTTGTTTAATTTAGATAAAAAAGATCGTACCAAATTTATTCTATAAATATAACATTTTATTTACATCATGAAGGAGTAACAGAATTGAAATGATCTCTTTTTATCTAAATTTTATTTTTTATTATCTTATTCATTTATTATAATTTTACATTAATTTTATAATACATATCTAAGTTAATTCAGAGTAGTCACAACATTTGTATGCATGTTACCATTTTCAAGTTAATTATTGTCATTATCATTTTTTTTAAAATGTTTTTTTATACTAAAAAGAAAGAGTCTTCTCATCAACGTCCCTCGCCCTCCACAACTCTAAAACAAAATTAAAAGACACAAAATAAAAAATAATTCTAAAATTAATTTATCTACACATCATCCTTACAGTCGTCAATCATTCACTCGGCTTCCTGCAATCCGCCGAGAACAACAGACCCAACGAACAACCCAACCGCGCCGACGACGAGCGCGGCTGCGACAACAGCCTGAACGGCAACAAGCGCGGCGGAGTCATCGGGAATGAGCACAATCGCGGCGATGGCAGCCACCAGAGCCGGAAGCGCCGCGGAAGCCAACACGGAAGGGGAAACGCTAGCGGCTCGCTCCAACAAGCTGAGCAAGCCGAGTTCCTCAGCCTTGGAAAAGACGCCGAGTTTCTCAATGGAAGAAAGAGTGAAGCCAAGTTCCTCTGCCTTGGACAACAACCCTGCTTTCTCGACGTTGCTCAATACCTTCTTCTTCTCCAGATTCTTGAACACGTCAACCTCAACATCCTCGCTTCCCTCGTAGAATATTCCTGCTCCGAACCATTCCTTCTTCCAGTTCTCGTCGTACTTGTTCACCTTCAGCATTCAACCCTAAACTTTTCAATTTTCATCCCTAGACTCAAACTTCAAAAATGAATTGATGGATTAGTTAAGTAAATAAATTGTACCTTTTTCTGGGGGGCCATGGCGACGACGGTTGAGGGTTTGTTGGTGGTGGGGATGGTGCGAGGGAATGAAGAAGAGAAGGTGCGGTTGGCGTGAATGGGTCGAAGGAGAGAGGCTGAGGTTGGTGCAGGGACTGCCATGGATGATGCTTCTGCTTTTGCCTCAGAACCACAGAGGACACTTTCTCGTTGTTATCTCAACTCAATTGCCACGTGGGACGATCAACAGAGACACTCAAAGGGCATTTTCTGTAATAATATTAAATATTAATAAATTAGTGATAATCGTTTTGGGTTGTGTTTTCAGGAAGCGATCTTGTTGATTGATTTCCACCAATCATATTGCCTGTAGCTTTATCCTCTAACGGAAGTTGATGCTTGACTCTCCAACTTTTTTTTTCCCTTTTATTTTGGTTGAAAATAATTCTCGGCTTTGATAAAATTTATGAAAAAAAATAAAAATAAAAGAGTCATTCACAAAAATTGAAAGTTTATGTTTAATTTCTTTTTTTTAAAAAAATAGTTTTTTATTTTTAAAAATAAAATTAAAAAAAATTAAAAGAGAAATCAAACATCCTTTATATGTATTACGTTTGTTGCCATGCAACTCTATCAATATTTGAGAGCTGCTCCTCCCCAATTATACTAAGATGGCAAAGTTCTCAAGTAAAGGCAAATATCAAACTGTAACTCTACTGCTAGAGTGATCGGCTAACATAAACCCTCCAATCAATCTCATAATATACGCTCTAGCAAATCTCGTCAGTTGAAGCTCGTTCTGATTATGCATAGTAATGTCTGAGAAATTTTGGTCTAACCAAGTAAGCTTCAGGCTGCTTTCCACAAATGCCTCGGGCCGTGGCCTAACACCTAGACTATCCTCAACTATCTGTGGCTAGTTATCTCTAGTAGTTGCAAATACTGGAAGTCCATCAACCTGAATACCTATTTGTATAGCTATATCTTGAAGCGTTATGGTGCATTCTCCTGGTGGCATATGAAAAGTGTGTGTCTTATACCTCCATCTTTCAACTAATGTGGTGATCAAATGCCTATCTAATGGAAAGTTGGCAAGCTGTGCCACTCCATCAAAGTCAGCCAACTCCAAATGTGGTAGAATCTCTGCTTGAATACCGTCTGAGCCACCTGATATAAACTGACACTTCTTAACCTTCATCATGGGATGCTCTCGACCATCCCAAATGTGTTCAAACACATGTATACTTTGAAAACACAACAATGATGGATCCTTAAACATGACATTGTGAAAAAGATGATGCCATCTGATAATTTAAAAAAAAAATGTTTGTATTATCAACATATTAAACATGACAATAAAATGGTCAAATTAATATTTATATGATCTAAATACACAACTACAAATTTAGTCAACTAAGTTACATAATAATTGACAATTTTAACAATCAATTATATAATATACTTTCAATACAATTCAAATAAGTTATATAGATTTTCTATCCTGAAAAAAATTATTTTTTATAATTATTATTTTTAAATCGATATTACATTTGTATTATTTTCAATATACATATATTTCATTTCAATTATATTTTTAATTTCCTCTTCGCATTATCATTAACATTGAATTTATTTATAATTTTAATCATTTGAAATTCTGTTATTTTTAATTTTTTGGTAACAAATTTTAAATCTGTTTACTGTTTTTTAAATTTTTTTCTGTCAACATTTTGTTTTAGTCTATGCAAATTTATTCTACATTTTTCACATATTTCATAAAATTTTACTTTTTATACCTTTATTTTTTCCTTCTAATTAATCTTGTTAATAATGAATTATTTTACAAATTTTATTTAATTTATTATGTTTTATTATGTAATTTTAATTTTTTAAATTAACTAATTATCCATTTTTCTTCTTAACCAACTTAATATATTATTATGCTGTAATTCTAGATTATAGATTACTTTAATTTTAATTTACTATTTTATAAAAATACTCAACGAAACATTTATTTTATTCACAACTAAATAAATATTAATCTATTTTTAGTGACTTTACTAAATATTTTACACAAAATTTACATTTTTTTCACAACTGCACTTAAATGTAAACATATTATAAATTGTTCTATTTAATGCTAAACTTCATAATTAACTATAACAACAATTAATCAACTTTCAATTCTATTTTTAAGAAAAAAAAATTTAAATCAAATATTATATTTTTATTTTTACATTAAATTAAGCAAATAATATATAAACACTAAAATAAATTACAAAATAATTATACATAATTATCCTTCACTGACCTCTTTTGCAGATTAAAATGCAGTTTTGACTTGTATATTATCTGCTACAGGCACTACAAAGATTCAAAATATAACAAACTGTTAAATTTTTTACAAATAATATGAACATATTTATTGGCAAATGACAATTTTTACCTTTGAATATAGTTCACATTAACACTGAAAAATCAACAAATAGTCGAGTAGGAGAAAATGAGAATGCTTCTGCCGGTGTTAATGGAAGACGATGCGCAGGGAAAGGAAGAAGCCTTCCGCGCCACCAGTATCCACCACTACGCCAGAAATGAGTTTTTAGAGCACTAATTTAGACAGCGGTTAGTAAAAATCACTTTGTAACTATATATTTAGAGAGCGGTTCTCTATTAACCGCTCTCAGATCTATACTTTTGAGAGCGATTCTTTGTTAACCGCTCTCAGAACTATACTTCTGAGAGCGGTTCTCTATTAACCGTTCTCTAAAGTCACACATTGGAGAGTGGTTAATAAAGAACTGCTCTCTAAAGTCTTTAAAGTTGTTTACAAATGAAACATGTTTAACGCATTTCTTTTTAGCTAACAAAGTTAGTCTCTTTTACTGTAAGTTTTGTTCGTCTTCTCTGCTCTCTTATGTTCTTTTCATCTTTTTCTGTTAGCCTGCTCTCTTCGTCTTCTCTCACTAACAAATTGATTTTTTATTTATTTTTATTTTTGCATTTATAGGTACCTTTTCATTCTCTGTTAGCTTGCTCTCTTCATCTTCTCTACGCTAACAATTTGTTTTTCTTTCATATTTGTAGGTACATCTTCATTCTTTTTTAGCCTGCTCTCTTCATATTTTCTACGCTAACAAATTGGTTTTTTTTTCACATCTATAGGTACTTCTTCATTCTCTCTTTCTTTCTTCTTCTCTTTCTTAATAGTGAATCATCCATTCTCTCTTTCTTTCTTTTTCTCTCTATTAACATTAAAAATCATTCTATTAATTTGTTTTTTTTTTTTTTTCTGTTTGGTTCATGCAGATGTAGACTGTTTGGTTAACACCAAACGTATAAACTCAAGATTCAATTTTGATTTGTGATAAAAATGAAGAAAACTCATAAAGAAATCAATTCCAAATTTTGATTTAAACGTAATAATAAATTAATTTTACTTTGCAGCAAAAAACTCAAAAAGAAACCAATTTTAAATTTTAGATTCGCGTGGTCTACATTTATACTTTTGAGAGCGGTTCCACGTAAAATCGCTCTCTAATCTTACACCTATACTTTGGAGAGCGGTTCTACGTGGAACCGCTCTCCAATCTTAAATTTGGGAGCAGTTGTTTAACCGCTCTCTGAAATGTAACACATCAGATAGCGCAAGATTTTAGAGCATTTCTAAACGCTCTCTAATTTAAAATGGAACCGCTCTCAGATCTTCATTCTGGCATAGTGCACTATAACACCTTAAATTTAATTTTAATAAATAAGAAATTTCACAAATTTTTGAAATAATAAAATTTCCATTTTCAATTCAAGTTTCATCAACCATTTCAAATGAAGAAATGAGGTTACAAATTACATCAAACAGTTGCTACAGGACTTATTTAAATACAACAGTTTTCAAAATAATATCCTAAGTCCTATAGCAGTTCCATTCACCGTTTCACTGAGTCCGGTGCTGATCGTCTTGATTACCTGAAAAATGAATGTAAGGGTGAGTACTCTACACTACCCAAAAACACATAGTCAACATAAAGTCTCACCTCTAGCACATTTCCATTACATTAAACAAATACAATCACAGGTAGCATTATCACACAACTCATGTCAATTTAACACAGATGCACTCACGACATCGGCAGCATTTCACATCCATAAGTATAATACACAAACTTGTGCATACGCACACCAGCCACACTCACTGTGGCATTGTGATTACAGATTTACACCATGAATGGTCACCGGTTATCCCCACCTCACAGATACCATGTGGGTATTCACGGGTCGCTCAGAAAAGATAACGGTCAGAGGTCTAGTCAACAAGAGAGTGTGTGGCCCGTGGTGCATCCGTTCCACAGTCGGTGTCACCACCACTCCCTCTTCCCCAAGGTATTTCTACCATCCTCATCTTCCACACCCCCAGTGTATCGCTAAACTATTCACAGCACATCATAACGGCACTAACACGCCCATTTACATATATTCATCTATATTACACGGCCCTCGGGCCCACATTTGCTCACAACATACATTCTATCATGCAACATCTAGCATACAATTCACATTAATCAATTTTGGGTAAACACCCACAATGTTCACATCTCCCAGCACATTGCCCTCATCACATTTCTCAACAATCTCCTACCCTTTAACTTAGTTACACCACAATATACAACAATTAACAGCAAACCACACAAAATACAGTAGGGTAGAGTCTCCCCTTACCTTGGATTGAAGACCTACACTCGGATTCAACCACGGATGTGCTCTCTACATAGATTTCAGCCTAAAACACATGGAAGAACTCCATGAGAACCCAAGGAAACCCAAAAATAAAGAACAGGGGATGAGAAACGGAACCCTAACCATTAAAACTCACCTCCAAGCGTTCTCCACACGGATTCAACCTTCAATCAAGCTCCCGAACGGCTTTGGAGTCAATTAATCGGTGGAATAGAGCTTTGGGTCAAGAGGATTGAAGAGATTTTGGAGAAAATTTGAGAAATGAATCTCAAATCCCTAAACCCCCTTTTACCCCTCTGATCGCGACACTCTTGCTACAGCGAGAAATTCTTGCTGCAGCAAGGCATCTTTCGCTACAGCGACGCCCTCTGTCGTCACAGCGAAAATCTCAGACGAAACTGCATCCTGGTTTCTGTAGAATCTCGCTACAGCGAGACTGCACCCCAAACTGTGGCTCTGTCGCTACAGCGAGACGTCTCTCCACTACGCCAGAAATTGGCTTTTGAAGCGCCTACTTAGATAGCGGTTAGTAATAACTGCTTTGTATAAAACACTAA